CCATCCCTAACGGGGCCAGGAAAGGGCCAAAGGAGGCGTGAGGTGGAGGACATGGCCCTGAGCGCAGCCAACCCACACGCAGAGCCTCCCGGGACCCCTGAGGGGCTGCAGCAACACCCGGGACCCACTTGATACTAACGAGAAGCCAACTTGCATGTGGGGAAATGAAGAAAACGAACATCCATTATCAGATGAAGAGCAAACCCCCAAACCAAGGCAACGACACCTTTGCACCCCATCCATGACTCTGACAACGCTCCAACGTCCCAGGGAGGCAGGCGCTGCCCTCAGAGACCGCGATCAAGCCACGAGCTGGTTCCATGAGCACAAAGACCAAACCCACAAGGCTTCGGCTGCCGTCAGCAGCAAAACCCCCCTCACCTCTCCACAAGGCAGACAACTGGGGGGCACCGGGGTGATGGAGGGGACAGCAGAGGGATGCACCAGCAAAGCCTGCCTCACTGGGAGCCCCCAGTCCTGTGCAAGGGGTGAACCCACAGACCTTCCTCCCCTGAAACCCCTGTGCTCTCAACAAGCTCCTGGCCGTGATGGCAGGTCACAGGGTTAAGGGCTGGTCCCTTGCCCTGGGCTGGATGCGGCCATGCCCTCGGGGCCGGGGAAGGACTGGCAGCACTGGGAGGGTGGAGGACAAGGCTCAGAGGGACCAACGAAGCTTAAAACTAAGGGGCAGTTGCCCTCCCAGCAGCAAGGAGTCTCGTCTCACTAACATCACGCCAGCAGAGCAGAAAACCTGATTTAAAAAACCAAACCTGACAGAAATCTCATCTCCTCGGGTGAGCTCGTTGAGAGAGCAAATTTTTTGCAATTAAATATCAAGGCATCCGTCAAAGGGGACTTGATTAACCATTTCATTGGCCGCATAATTGGAAACAAACTGTTGTATAATTAATAGACTTACTGGGAGGCAGGCAAAGTCCATCAGGAGCCCTACAGGTAACTTCTTAATGGGGAATCAGCTCCCTTTGATTAAGAGCTGCTGCGGTGCTGGCGGGTTGTGGAGCGGCGTGCTGTGCAGCATCCGCCGCGCTGCCATGCAGCAGCCCCCGGCCACCAAGCAGCTCTGGCTCTCTGCCAGCATTTTTGGGACAGGACCAGGCTGGTCCCTGTCTGCTGGGGCAGCAAGGGATGCCCGATGGAGAATCGCTTCCCAAAGGAAAGGGAAAGCTGCATTTCGACACCAGCGTCAGGTCCCACGGAGGGGAAAATTCACCAGCAAGAGCCAGGCATATCTGATTCACCTCCCCTCGCAGCAGCGACCCCGCGCTGCAGCTGGACCCGCAAGTGCTCACAGATTCTGCCACAAACCTGCTGCCGGGGACACCCCCCGCCATCCATCTCTGCAGCCGCTGTTGGCTGTCAGGCTACACAGGGAATAAAATAACTGCAATAACACTCACAGAGAGATCAAACCCCTCCCGTGCCTCAAAGGTGGCTGAGCTGGAAACAAATGAGACTGGTCCGAGAAGCGGACAAGGAACCTATTCCCCCTGCCCACCTCCTTCGCCACTCCCAGGAAGACAGCTGTGTATCCTGGGATGCTGAGGTGTGGAAAGACTCACAACCTGCCCCTGCATTTATCTGCTCCTCTTTTATCTCAGCCTTACGGAAACCTGTGCCGAGCGTAGCGAGACACCCAGGTCTGTCACCTGCTGTAAGGAGCCAGGACCACTGATTACCAAGATCCAAGTACCCAAATGAAAATTAATTATGATTTTCATTCACAGCCAATGACAGCGTATTATCGCACTGAACAACAGGAAAAATTATTCTCTCCCATTTTGCATCAAAGAGGGTGCAATCGGGCTGCATATAATTGTGCTTAATGAATGAAAACAAACAAAGGGAACAGCTGCGATTTATTAATCCCATTACAAATAATAAAAGAAGTTCCTGAGAGCTGTGAACACACTTGTGATGCTCGGAGAGCGGGCAACTGCAAGACACTCAACAGATGTTGGGCTGCCATTAGGGGGCAAAAAGAGGACCTGTGACCCTGAAGAGCAGCTCATTAATGCCACATGGCCCTCCCCCCACTCCCACCCAGGGCTTGGAGGGTTTATTTAAGGCCTGAGGGACTTGCAGCCTGGAGGAAGTGAGCACTTGATGAAGGCTGAGGCGTGATGGCTGTCCCACAGCAGACCCCGATCCTCCAGACTGCTCCTCTTCCACTCTCATGGCAGCTACAAGCTGTTGTACAAACTCTAAGACCCCAAAACCCTTCATGGCCAACTCATCACAGAGCTATGGGGGCTTCCTGGATGCGTCATCTCAAGTCTTTTGGGGAGAGGCACTGAGGTCCCACCAGCATGGTCATCAGGACACAGCCACCAGCTGCACGGTGACCACCACGTGGCACCTTCCCAAGCACCAGCGTTTCCTCCCATCCCAGTAGGAAAGCCAGGCCCTCCTCCTCTTCCTCCTCTCTCCTGCAAAGCACCCAGCTCCACAGGATTTTGGCCATCACAGCCCCCATGCTGACCTTAGACCCAGGGGCCAGGTCTGCTACAACCTGCCCATGGACTCCCTAAATTCACACCCTAAAGAGGCGCTGGGATTAGAATCATAGAAACGTTTGGGTTGGAAGGGACCTTAAAGATCATCTAGTTCCAACCCCCGATTGTGGCAGGGTACAACGGGGAGAACGTTTCCTCTCCCTGCGGAGTGAGGACAGCCCTTCCGGCTCATTCTGAACAAGAAGTTCTGACACTCTGTCACCTAAATAAGTTCGCTGTTCAAACACAGTTGTCAATCCCCTTTATTGGGACAATAAAACCCTATACTCTCATATGTATAGATCCATATTTTACCATAGTTACATATTTTACTGCTTTAATAAAAAGATTCAGGATGTGTATTTGAGAGGTGCTTTACAAAGTTAATTTGTATAAATTTTAACAGAGGAGTGTTTAACCACTCCTACTGATGTTCACAAAGCAAGCACTGAAGAGGCCACCACATCCTTTAGCATCCCCCGGGACCGGAGGCAGATGCTGCCTGTACAATCACACGGTGTCGGTACCGTCACAACGCCGGGTCATACAGGGGAGGCACGCTGAGATAACACCGAGAACTCTGCAGCCCTGCCAAGCTCACATGCCAAACGTGGAGAAAAATAGGTGTTACCCACGTTACTCACTACAGAAAATATGGGGAACAAAGCGCTGCCTACACCAGCACCTGGCTCCACACCTCCAAACCTGTTCTTCCCCAGCAGACACAGACTATGTTGCCCTCCTGCATTTCACAGGGTGGTTTTCTATACGAAAAAGCATGGGACTGCAGAAACACCGGCAAAGGGACATGGCTCGCAGCCCAGGCTTGACTCCCTATCACTGCGCCTTACCTCGTCCTTGTACTTGGTGATGTAGGAGTAGATCTCGTGCAGTGCGCTCATACTGTTGAACTGGCTGAGGTGTAACCGCGACTGCTCCGCCAGGTACGCGCTCATGTCCTGGTCACTGATCGCTGGCATTTTAGCTATATCTGCATAATATCTGCAAGAGAGAAACAGAAGAGCGGGTCTGAAATAGGGACAGAGAGAAGGGGACAGGTCCCCGCTGCGTCACCCACCGAGAACAGCCACTGGAGAGAAAAGGTGCTCTTCACCTTGCTTCTGCGCAGGGACACACCATCACCACGCATTACAACGCCGCTGCTCATCAAGAGGTCTCTCAGAACTCCACGGAGCGGTCAGCATCATTAGGAACACGCTCCCAATGGAGCTCTTTCCCATCCCATTTGCATGTTTTGCTCCAAACCGCATCCACCAGACTCCTCCACGTCTGCAGCAAGGCGTACAGCTTTGCTACCGTTCTCCTAAGGTCACCGTGTCATTAAAGCCAACGATGCCCCTTTGCATTCAGTTAAATACTTGGTGCACAAACACAAGACAAGGTCACATCCAGCCCTTGCGATGATACACACCCGCGTGGTTACAGCTTCCTCAGCAACAGGCATTCAACACCCTACAACTGCCACAGGCCAAGTTCAGAAGTTACCGCTCACCAAATAGCTACAGGGAGCTGGCTTTTTCAGGGAAAACTGAGGTTCTGCACATCTCTGAAATCAAAGGATCCCAGGCAGCAGAGGAGGCAGCTGATGTCTTAAGGCATGCCAAGTGACTTGGTGCTTTCCTGCCTTCCTTGTGCTTCCCTGATAGTTGCTACCAGCAGGATACTACCTTACATTTCCTAGGACACCTTAAGACTTGCAGTGCCATCCCATAGCTACCTCACAGATGTGCTCAGCTAATACAGAGAAACCCAGACACAGCTTATATGGTCCAGAATCATAGTGGAAAAACAGAATATCCAATAGGATATTCATCAAAACCCAGGAAGATCAAAGCCACGGCATCCCATTGCAGACGGAGCGTTCACCAAGCAGGGCGCAGTGGACTGGCCACTGAGGTCCTTTTGGAAACCAGGGTTGCGTCCACAGGCCTCTATTGAAAAAGAAACCTTGCCCACAGCAAACGAGCCCTGGCTGCTCCCAGTACCTGGAAATACAGAGTGCCAGTCTCTCCCAGGATTGCTTTACTCCTCATAACTCCAAAACTGCAGAGTGAAGTTTCTGGTACAGCGATTAGCATCATTAGCATCATCAGCCGAACACTGAGGCAGAACACGGCTGAAGCACTTGGATAGCAGCAGATGGCAACAAGTCCACTTGAGGAGATGAATACGAGGATCCACTCCATCCCACGGCACTGAACTCCCCTAATGACAAAATACTTGGGTAGTTTTTACAAGGAGGTTTATTCACACCCAGAAAGTGATGTGAGAGATCTCCTGGGTGCTGCCAAGAGGGCAGTGGTCTAAGGTGAGGATCTCTGACTAAACCTGGCATCAAGAGATCTGCTACGCTGCTGGAGAGATCACCCACGGAGTCCTGTCTCCTAAAGCTGACATCACTTCTGCTTCTGCTGAGGAGTATCAGGGATAATATGCCCAAGTTTCTCAGTTCCAGCCTGCTTTGAATAGCAAAGAAAACCCACAGAGATCCTCCTGGCCATCCTTTAACCCCGCAGGTGAAGGCCCCTGTGGGGAGGGACTCGTGGAGATGAACGTACAAGGAGAAAGCTTTTGTGGCTGCCACACAAAATGCCCAGGTGACAGGCAGCAGTTTTACATCCAGGTCTTGCCATGACACAGAGGATGGCAGGAAACCATCACTTTTCCATACGGGTGTGCACAGCTCGTGTGGACCAAGATCCCAGTCCCACCTACCATTTCCAGAGGACACCTACCACAGGCATGACCCTGGCAGCAGTCCCCTTGGGTTCCCTCAGGCTCCCCACCTCCCAGGCCCTTACTGATATTATTCCTGCCTCAGACCTGCAGGATGCCCTTTTTTCAGCTGGTGCCTGAACCAAGGTGGCAGACAGACCTGCTGTTGGGACTAGCAGTCCCACTCACCCACCCCCGCGTCGCTCCCATCCCACCTCTGCAAGGCTTTGCGACAGTAACTGTGCCGAAAGCCAGAAACGCCGATTACACCGTAAATCCCCGCAGCAGCGGAGCAGTGGGAGACACAGTCCTACCCTGCACGGGGCAGCACCGCCCCCTGTTCTGCTGCCCCTGGGACTGTCCTGGCAGTAAGTGATGGCAGAACATCTGTCACTGGTGAGATCTCCCGCCTCCTCCCCAGGGGCACAGCCTGTCTAGACAGATGTTTCACTCTGGAATGCTTTCTACCCATTTTTTTCCTGGGCACACACAGAGCTGAATATTTTTGTCACAGAAAAGGCAAGGTCAGAGAAATTCACCTTATGAAGTTTGTGATGATCCTATGGGACCCCAGTCCAAAACCCCCTCCAGCCTCCCCCCCATAGAACTTTCCTATTACAATGCAGCTCATCGCATCTCAGCCAGCATCTTTCAGGGGCACTTTTTCTTCTGATCCCAGACCTGTCTTCCTCGAGGGAAAAAGCTTGTCTTCAAACCTGCCTGAAAAGCGCCAGGCATGCCAATGGCACAGCACAAATAACTGTGCACAAGTACCCAAAGGGTGATTCAGCTTACACAGTCCCAGGCTTGCAAACTAGAGAATATGATGCTTATTGTTGCCTGGACACCTTTCACTTGGTTCACTATGTACCTGGTATAGATGCTGAAGAGGGAAGGGTCCTCAGTTAAAAACAAAACAAAACAAAACAAAAAAAAAGGAGCATGATGTACAGCACAGCATATCAGCACAAGGGGAAAGTTGCACCAGCAACTTGAAATCTGCCTTAAGCTTGATGAAGTCCCACTTTACAACACTTTAACAGTAGCTTTATTTGGGTCTAGTTTCTCTCCCAGGAGGATAAAGCTAAACACAGCATTATGCCCAAGCGCATCTATTTGCAACCAGTAGCGTTCAGACCCTGAACCTTTAACACCGCATTAATTCAGCGGGACAGAAGGATCTCTCATCAGCTAACAGTGAACGTGGAGGGTGTCGGAAGGAGTCAGGGGACCTGCTCCTTGGCACAGCGACAGCAGCCCAAGCATTGCCTCCGAGCATGTGCTCTCACCAGGATCCCAGATGAGATGTACAGATAGATGAGAGATGGGAAATGGTAATTTTCAACCATTTCAGGAAACCTGCGTGCATTGTCATGGTACAAAAAAGGCACTTCTCCAGTCCAAGGCTGACTTCTTTCTGCTCTTCAGAAGCAATCAAGGGAGGTGTTAGCAATCCCCTAGCACAGACCAAGTTTTTACAACAGAAACCATCAGACAACCTAAAAGTGGAGGTTGCTTTTAGCACCCCTTCAGCAAGTCATAAACAGTGCTGTCAAACAGTCATTGCAAACTCATTCCAGGAGACAATCATGAGAAATCCTCATCTCCCAAACGAGAGGATTACCTTCCGCAAGCACACGGTCCTTCTTCAGACAGCTGCCAAGAAGAGGCTTCCCAACAACTGAGCCCTTGGTGTGAAGTCCCCACACCCATGCACGTCCACTGTGAGCCCTTCAGATGACGCAAGGAGCTACTGCCACATCTACTCACCTTTCTACCCAGCTCTTGTAGTTGGGGATGTCCTTGGCGTACAGTAGTTTGTTGGAGGGAGAGTCTTTTCCTAGCTTGTGCTCAGAAGTTGAGCAGGAGTCCATGAATGTCTGAGCCACCACGGATAGGCAGGCATCAGTAATACTGTTCTTGTGAATGTCGAACACAAACTGGGGGTTCTTAATCACATTCACCCAAAAACGTAGAGGTAGACTGAGGGAAAAAGAAAACAGGAGTCAGCACCTGAACCGAACCCGACATAGCACCAGCACACATGCAACTCCAGTCATGGGGAAGGAGCTCCCCATGATCTAGAACAAGGCAGGATGCTTTTCCCAGCACCTCAGGGATGCTCTGATAAGAACCTGGGGTAAATGGCCATTCTTCTCTGCCCACTGCGGGGGCAGAGGCCACAGCTTTCTGTGAAGAAATTCCTCAGCACTGCCAACATCTCCAAAGGCAAAATGGGGCAGCACAGACCTGTGGTTTCCTCAAGGATCCACTCGTACTGAAGAGCCCTTGCTGAGCCCACAGGTCAAACCAGGCACCATCCCCTCCTCTTGCATCAATAAGCCTGTCTACAGCACCGTGTGGCATTTCACACATCTCTAGTGCCAGAGGAGGGGGTTAACTGGACTCCTCAAGGGACTCATTAGCACATTTAACACCAGAGGATAATTTAGGCAGTCTCAGATGCTGGAAATAAAGCTCTCAGCTGTAGAGGCAGCGGGTCTCCTGGACAGCCACCGACTGGATGCTTGCTGCGTACTAACACACATGCCACTCTCCATGGCTCCATTTCCCAATCCTGCTGCCCCTCTCCTCTCCCAGGAGAGTCTCAGGGTCTCCCCCCATCAGAAAGCCTCTCCGCTCTGTCATCCCTCAGCACCGACACCCAGCGAATGCTTTTATCTTAGACAAAACACACTTCGTTCCCCAGGACTTTCCTAATGAGGGTACCGGGTGCATGTACATATTTCATTTGCAAAGGGAATGGCCTCAAGAAATTAGCTCCACACATCGAATTAGCACCCAGAGATAAGCACAGGCATTAGTATGCAGGAGCCTGCATGCCCAGCCCCTGCGGAGCAGGGCTTTTTTTCCCTCCCTTGCCTTTCGCTCCTTCTTTTAATATAGAAAGCCAAGTTATAAATCAGTTCCAAGCACTTCCGCGCTCTCACATCTCCATTTAAAAATGTTTCTTTTCCTGCCCTGCTAATTGCCAACAGTTACTGAACTATACAAAAGCAATTTGGCTGCCATTTAACAAATGCCAGACATGGGAATGTACGTACCCGTCTCCAGTACCGGCAAGATCAGAGAGATGAAATCAGTGAGGCAGCAGGAAAGAAAAATGCCGAGGGGGGGACTGCGGAGCAGGAGCCAACGCCTGCGTGAGCCCTGGCCCCCACACAGCACTTCAGGAGGTCGCATCAGCTGCTCCGCCCCACTTCTCAGGGAGCGATTAGCAGCGAGCTTATGGAGGATGGACACATGGCTTTACGCTTTGTTAGGGCACGCTCGGCTGAGCGACGGGAGGGAGCGTGGAAACACCTTTAGGACAGTCAAGACAAGAATGGGGGCTGGCACCTCCAGAGGAGCCCGGGGGGATGGAGAAGCCTCCATCTAGCCTTTGGTCTAGGTGAGATGGGAACAAAGCCACTGTGGTCCTCAGCCAACTACAGCTGTCCGGGGAGCGTGGGATTTGGGGATGGAAGGGCTAAGGGAGCATTGCATTCCTGGGATTGTTTCTGCTGCAGGAAGGCATGCAAGAGATTTACTCGCACCCAGAATACAGAGATATGGGCCTTTCTTGCCCTGGATCATTTCCAGGGACATATTTCTGCTCCCAGTGGGAAGGGTTGGAAGTATCATGAGCTGTGAGGTTGTTAGCCCCCCCACCCCCGTCCCACAGCCCCTCTCCATTACCAGTTACTCTTCCAGGTGTGCCTGACATCGTAATCATTGATCTGATGCTTATCAGCTTGTTCATCCAGGAAATCAAACATATATTTGATGGCGAGGGGCAGCGCGCTCCCACGATGTGCTGTACTGAAGATGGTCTCAAACAGGTCATCCACGAATTTCTGCAGGGTGCCCTGAAAAGGAGAGAGAAAAGCCATTCAGCAATGCCCAGGACCAGCAGCAAGGCGAGACTTTAACTAAAGGTCGGCTTTTAAACCAATTTCCCTTCTATTCCTACCACCTGGAAGAGAAGCACAGTACAGTCTGTGCAAACACTACTTGTTCTCAGTGGTTTATACTAGGAAACAGACACAGCAGTGGTATCTCCTCCACTGCATGAACTGGCATGCTAAAGGCATACAAATAAAAGCACCATATAGAGAAAAAATACAAGTGAATGTATGTCATATCGTGGTCTTTTTTGGGTCCCGTTAAGGTACCCAAGACCTGATGACAGACACTGCTGAACAAGCCCTTGTCCCATGAAGCAGGGAGCCAAGTGACAGGGGAGACGGCTGAGCCCAGTCTGCAATCCTCAGCCAGCACCTTCCGCCCAGCCCTGCGCTCCTCTCTAGGGCCATCTCAGACACACAGCACCCGCTCCGCACCAGAGAAGGTTTTGTATGTGCCGAGGGAATGGGAACCCACTGCGATGCCAAGACCACAGCACTGATTTTGCAGCTTTATCCCAAACACCAGAGGGGATGAGACACCTGCACCAGGACATCTCTGCTTTGCAGTCCAGCAGCTGCTCAGGGATACAGGCAACAGTAAAAAAGCCAAATGGTGCAAAAAGCAAATAGGAAAATCCACTCAAGGAATATTCACTGAGGGTTTTGACACAAAAAAACAAGAAAACAAGAGAGTAGCTCCTCTTGTGCAGAAGCACAAGGCTAATAAAAAAGTAGTGCCTACCACTTTTAGACCACCCAAATCACTGCCTTTCACTGCTCAGATTTAAAAAGCCAGGCGGCAGCTCTGCATCTCCAGGCCATACCTTGGTGGCTAACAGGCGGGTCAGGTAGATTTCGGAGACCATCTTGCTGCCCCGGTCGCCCTCCCGCTGGTCCATGTGGTCGTGGTTTTTCACCAGGTGCCAGAGCTTGGTGCCGCTCTCCAGGTCGGGGGTGATCATGGGGGTCCGTGAGCGCAGGCTGTCGGGGCTGCTGGCTGTCCGCAGCATGCTCTCTGCAAGCACCGAGCAGAGGGGACGCTCGTACCCTGCCCACCTCTGCCCCCCACCCCCACCCCTTCCATCTCCCTTCCCTCCGCTGTGGCTGTGCAATGGGAGCTTTGGGATCCAGCCTCTGCAGTCACCGTGGACTGGGAGCTCTGCTGGGACCGTCCTCGCAGCCTGCCTGGCTACGTTCAAGCCTGGCTGATGTACAGGAGCCAGGACCATGGTGAAACGGTTTCTGCAGAGGTCTGTCCTGCTCCTGGCACGCAGGTGCTGGCATCACAGATGCCTCCTGTGTCAGTCTGAGCTGACCACACTATTCCCTTTCAAACCAAGGCTGAAGTACACTTGCCAGCACGTTTGCTGGAGCCCTCAACTCTGCTCATTTACGTGCAAAGTGCCTCTGTGCCTATTTTAAATAGATTTCAGGGGAAGAAAAGGGAGAGGATCCCTTTGCGACAGCTACCTGACACGTGTCTTTCTCCCTCAAGTCTGACACGCTGCAAAGAGAGATGGCTCTGAGGGCATCTGCTCCCTCTGCAACACCAGAATAAATAGCAGGGTGCAGGAGCACGAGGCGTTTGGAGGTCCTTGTTCACATGAGCCACAGTTACAATCACCTGCCCTGTGCCTTGGCCTGCAAGCCCAGCCCTGCCCTGCCAGCCCAGCAGAGTACTCACCGTATCTGCTTAGGGACTTGGTGAAGGTGGAGGAGTTGGAGATGTTGTACGCCGAGTTCTGCTTGGGCACCAGGGCTACAGAGGAGCCGTCCGTCACCTGAGGCAGAGATGGAGTAAGCAGGCTGCGATACTGGAGAAGCTCAGGAAAAACCAGCCCAGGAGGAATGAAGCTACCCTGCACCCCACCCCAGGGACACCCATCTCCAGCAAAGGAGACCTACACGTCTACCTCTGCGACAGCTCAGGGGAAGGGGTCAGAACAGAAACACACCAGGAATGTTGGCATGAAAACGGCAAAGGGAGGACAGAGCAGGAAACAGCCTCTGTGAGTCCTGGAGATGCCCCATTTAGTGCTTCCTTGAACGGAAGGACCACAAACATGGGGCCCAGGCAGGAAAGTGACTGCAGATCTCCTGGCTGTGCCCCTGCACAACCAGCACGGTCAGGAGGGCTGAGCCCAGGCCCTGACCAAGCTGAGGAGGGAGAAGAGATGCTCAAGCTCAAAGCAGCTCAGTGCTCTCCACCACAGACAGCCTTACCTGGTAGTGGGCCAGGGTATTTAGCCTCTTCCAGTCATTGTCGATCTTTGTGGTGACATCTTCATCCTGCAGTATGATCCGGGCCATCCTGCCCTGCCGCCACTCTGTCCCCATGAAGGAAAAGGGCTCATGGTTAGGGGCAATAGGAGCACAAAGCCGAGGCAAGGATACAAGCAGTCTGGGCATCAAGAGAAGAGCCCTCCCATCACCTTCTGAACCCCACGACTGCTGACTATCAATATGGTGTTTCTTAAACTTAAAACTAAAAGCTGTTTCTAAGTACTCAAGGCAAAGCAGCATCGATTTAACCCTGGTGACTGTTTCCTTTGCTCCTGTCCTCGTCGTTCTCCTCCCCCTCCTTCAAGAACAGGACTATTAATACTGTTCTCAACTATTGCTGGCTTCCTCAGACCTCAGCCACCTCAAGCCTGCAATCCAGACCACAGCCAGAGCTGAGGAGGCTCCTTTCCCCGTGCCCTCTACTGGTAGGACCCACACTCTCATGCCAGGGGTCCCCACACACAGTCAGTGCCACCAGCAGAGCAGAAGAGGACTGGACAAGCACAAACGCTCAGGTCCTTCCAGGTCCCCTCTCCTGTAGGACATGAAGATTTTCCTGCCTTGAATAGGTTTGTTGGCACTTCTGCTCTGGGTCACATCCCTGCCTCTCCTAGGGAAGTGCTTGGCCTCTCTCTTACCCAGGTCCATGTCTCCCGCTTTGGGTCGCTGGGAATAGGGCACCCCCTTGTAGACAGCGTCGAGCAGCTTCTCTTTCACCTGCGTGATGGTGTCGCAGTTCAGCACCTTGACGGGGATCTCCGGGGCGTTCTCATTCTCGGGGTTCACGCAGTTGAGGGTCTGCACAGCACAGGGGGCAGAAAGACCCGAGTGAGAAGTTGCGATGCACTGGCTGCAGAGGTGGGTCCAAGGACATGGGGCTAGAGCTGCCTACAGGCCACGTCTTCCCATGTCCTGGGACGCTGCAGAGTTGCAGTCACGTGGCAATTCCTGCTCCTCCTTTCTTCCCACCACCCTCAAATCTCCAGCAATTCCCAGAAAGGCAGCATGCTGTCAGTGAAGGAATTCTGGGCCAGCAAACCATGTTCAACTCGCCAAAACCTGTTTAGCCGGAGCGATGCCTGGGCACACTCCAATCCCCTCCTAACCCCAGCCTAGTGGAGATCGAGGTGGTGAAGACCCAGCTGCGGGCTCAGCCAGGGGAAGGGCCTGGCTTATCATTCAGCTGGACAGAGGAGATGGCTCATATGGAGGAAGAGTACCTCTCCTGCAGTAATCTCAAGGCTCTAACTCTGATCCCCACAGAACGTGAGCCGCTGGCTGCTCCAGGTAGCATGTGCTCAAGAGCATCTCGGTCCCCATATCTATCAGGGACATGGGATTTGCTGGGAGAGGCATGGAGGGCGATTCCGTTCATGTTTGGCTTTCTCAGCTCCATGGCAAAAGTAGTGCAAAGTACCCTCTGCAAAGTACTTTGGGTGCCTCCAAGATCTTGTTAAATAGCTGGTCCTAGCAGTCCCGGCAAGCACCAGTACAGTGAGGCTTCCACTTGCACTAACCAGCATTTTGTAGTCAATCTGCTGCCGGATAAGCTTGTCTTCACTGAGGGAGTAGCGAGCCTCTCCTGTGATGGCATCAATGGGTCCCTTCTCCATCTGCTGCTTGATGGCACAAGAAAAGCGGTTCCCCAGCACACTCCTGCGGGACAGAGGAAGGAGAAGAGAGAGAGGAGTAAGAAGGTGCCAGACACCAGCTTTGCCTTTCAAGAACCACCACATCAGGAGCCTGCTGTGGCCCTGCAGCATCGAGTCCCACATGTGGCTTTATAAAGAGTCTCCAGCTGTTGCTTAATACTGCAAGGAAGGGGTCAGATGGAAAATTCATCCCATGGAAGAACTCATTCTCTTCTTCAAGGCCACTGGAGGTTGTTCCTTTGCCTAACAACCCCTAGGCTCAGCTTCCCAGAGTTTCCATACACTCCCTGGTGAATTCTACTAATTCTACAGGCCAAAAATGAGCTTAAAAGGTTAAATTCAGGGCTAGTGAAGAGCAGGATGGGTCTGGGGACTTTGTGTATGGAATCTTTTGAGCTGGCCCAGCCAAGAGAAGCATGTGAGGACTGGAAAGGGCATGCTGCAGTGGGACAGCCTGGGGGCTCTTGCCCAGGTATCTCAGTGCAGTTCCGGCATCTGCCAGGAGCCCAGTCTCACATGAGAGAAGGTAAAAGGAGGTTTCTCCATATGATGGCTGGGCACAGCCAGACAGATCCACTGGGAAGGAAAAGCAAGAGACCAACCTACTGATAACCCTACCCTGAGTCTCCAGCTGACAGAGGGGACCAGACAATGAGGTTTCCTGCAGTTAAACCATTTGCCAATTCTGTGTCCCCACTGCCAAACCCCTGTAGTCAGAGCCAGCTGTAGCCACCAGCCAGAGCCACATCATCTCTCTCATAGGTGGGAGGAAGGGAGAGGGGAACTGGACCTGACGCTTCCCGAAGATACTGGAACTGCTGCAACCCAGGAGCAGCAAAGGACACACCAAGGTTGGAGGCACCAACCAGACTGGAGCCATGAGTTGGCACAGGGGGGCTGGAAGCAGACACCCTTTTATCACCCAGGGCCCAAACCGCTCCCCTGAGCTGTATCCCAGTAAGACCTTCCAGATACAGACATTAGCCCTAAGGGAGAAAAAAGGGTACGATGGGAGCAGGGAGGATGGGGAGAAGTCCCAGCAGATTTTACCCCACCAGCCCTCGCCCCTCCCCCTCGGCTGCCTCACAAATAAATTGTACTTTGGTGCAAAGTGCGGCTGCTCTCCCTGTCACCATATGCTGTTAGCATCTCGTTAGCATCTGCGGTAATTAAAGAGACAGCTGCTAACGAGCAGGAACAGGCATACATCATCCCCAGACCTTCCAACAACACGCCTGTCTTTGAAATTATGTTTCATTTGCAAACTTGGCTTCATTAAGTCAGCTTGGAGAAGGGAGAGACCCAAGGTGGGTGCTACGCTACGCGCTACCGGCTGCCCGGCAAGGCAGGAGGGCCAGGCTGGCTGCAGAGAGGCGAGCCCTCAGGGCTCCCACAGCACCCTCAACCCAACCGTCCAGCCGCGGTGGAAAGACTCAAGTTGCTTCTTTCAGTTGCTTGTAAAAACTCCTTGTAAAGCTTCCAAGTCTGAGGAAGCGGTGTGGATGGAGGATAGCGTGGCGTGGGACTCCTGGTCACATCTGGCACGACTGTTCCCATCTCAGCCTACAGATTTCCCCTCTCCGGCGAGTCACGGTGTGCTGGTTTTGGCTGGGAGAGAGTTAATTTTCTTCACAGCAGCTAGTCTGGGGCTGTGTTTTGGATTGGTGCAGAGAACAGTGTTGATAACACAGGGATGTTTTAGTCAGTGCTGAAGAGTGCTGACACAGTGAAGGCCTTTTCTGCTCCTCACCCCACCAGCGAGTGGGCTGGGGGTGCACAAGAAGCTGGGAGGGGACAGAGCCAGGACAGCTGACCCCAACTGACCAAAGGGATATTCCAGATCATATGACGTCATGATCAGCTTATGAAGCTGGGGAAGAAGGAGGAAGAGGGGAATGTTCAGTTATGTCATTTGTCTTCCCAAGTAACCGTTACATGTGATGGAGCCCTGCTTTCCTAGAGATCTCTTTATGGATGCATGAATCAGAGCTGGCCCTGTGGCCTCCCCACAGGGATGGAGGCATCAGTGGTCCTGGTGATGGGTGTTATCACTCCTCCAGCATCATGCAGGCTTTTGGGGGCTCTTGTGTGCCCCAGGATCCTGGTCCTCCCGACCTGCCAGGCACCCTAATGTCAACCAAAACAGCCTCTCTGCCCTGTCCCTGTGACTCTGCGCATCCTCCACGCTGCAGTTTGGCTTCCCTACCTGTTCCAAATGACAGTCCCACCCTTAACATCCCAAACCTCACTCCCAACCCCACTGTCCCCACCAGCTCTTGAGGACTGTGGCCGAGACGCTGCCATGGGTCACAGCTCACTAAGCTACCAGATAAGGATGGTTTAGGGCTCGTCCATGACACCAACAAAATGAACACAGCAACTGGCACTGGGCAGCTGCCCCAAGGTGATCTCCATCAGGTAGGAGACAGGAAGGGACCACTGAGATGGGGCTGGGTGGCCCCGCAGGTTGATGGAGGGCAGCCTGTCCCCCAAAACGCAGCCATGCTCACACTACCAGCCCTGACAGTTTGCTCACTGACGGGGGCCTGAGTGACGGGGCTTTTAGGGGGGCTCTCTGTGCAAGCCGAGCTGGAGGCAGGTGGCTGCAAACACGCCTGTGCCTGCACACAGTGGTACGTTGGGAGCAGGCTGAGGCGAGCCAGCTTACACTCAAACCGTCTTATTGACTAGATCTAGCTCATCAGGCACCTAATATCATGCATTTTTCAGCACTTGTCTCAATTTATCCCACTCCCTTTTCCCAGGGTGTCTCATTAAGAGTCTGATAAATGCTACTACAGGGTGCCCATGAAATTGCCAGCCCTCACTGGCTCCCGACACTACTGACCCTGGGCACGGGCAGCTATCCTGTCCCTGTCCCAGCACACCATGGCCACGTGATGCCGTGCGCCTGGCCCTGCTCCGGGCAGGTTTGCTCAGAGGCGACCTGGCAGCTGGGCACACGTCTGTCTGCCTCATTTACATGCACCATTACTGCCGTTTGGTGCAGTTTCCCTGCTGGCAAACTGTCTGCTGTGACACCTCTCCATCTATTCTATGGGTTTCTCCTTCTTGTGATGCCACCTGTGACCCTCACTGCCAGCAGACAAGCTAAAATGGCCCTATGCGTCTTCTCTGGAGGGACAGACTCAGGAGAGATCCTGAGTGTATCCTCAAGTCTTTTACAGCCTAACTCAAGTGACCTGAGCAATGGAGTTTCAACCACTTCCCAGGGAGGTGATCCCCAGCGTAACAAAGCACATAGCCAGCGCGTTCATCCACATATATTCGTCCTGCAATGTTGCATCTAGATCAGAATTCTCTCCCCTGCTTCTACCACCCAGAGGCTGGAGGCGTTTTCCCTCACCAAAGCCATGGCATAGCAAAGGATTTTATAAAAAGACACATCTCTCTCCTGCTACTCCTTATCCTCAGACCTGCCCCACACTGGCGATGTGCACAGAAGCCTCTCTGTAGAGGGACAGGGCTGTACAAGGACAGATGCAGGACAGTGCTGGCACATGAGCTGATCCTAAGCAGCTTCTGCACAAGGTGAATGTGCCCCTGTCACCTGCCCACATGGCCCAGCCCAGCCAGCGACAGGCCAAGGGTGTCAGGTCACTCACACGAATGCAACGTCCTCAACCCGGGTGTCTGAAGGCTGTGTGCTGCGCTTTGCTTGGCCAAAACACAACCTTGCCCACTTCAAGGAGCCCCGAGGGAGTTCATCCACAGCCAGAGCTACTCCCACCTGTTCCACAGAGCCCAGAGAGCCGTCTGCCAGTGTCCAGATCCCACTGGGCACTGTCGCTGCAGGGGCGGAGGGTCACCCCAATGAGCAAAGCGAAATGGCAGCAGGAGGTTTGACATCTCCCCACAACCGGCACAGCTTTTCTCCTCTCCCACCCCTGGAAAGCGATCTCTGCCACACGTTACAGCTAGATTTTTATAGATATAGGCTATCCCCCGACGGAGGCAAAAAGCCAAGTGCATGTAAGTGATATTATAAATCACCTCTCGTTGACGATCACTTGAGTTCTGCACAGACTCCTGCTCACTCTCATCTCTTGGCTGGAAATGGTTCAAACCCTCTTTATCTTAATGAGGGATGAAATCCCACAAAACCAGCTGTGTGCCACCCTGCCTCGCTGCGCCGACGCCAGGCAGGATCCCAAGAAAAGGCTCTGCTGACTGACAAACCAATGGTGGGGCCAGAGATGCCATTCACTCCGGTGGCATCCTCCTGAAGCAGCAGCAGGACCGAGCCGGTGCTCTGTGGCCTGGAGCTGCAGCCGCGTAACCCGCACGGCTGCTGGTGCCGCTCTAAGCAGGTGGAAGCACCGGTGCTAATGGGATAAATGTGCTCGCTATGGGCTGGGTGAACCAGCCATAAAATCACCCTTATGCTATGGCATCCTCTTCCGCTACCCCCGCTGAAACTGGGACAAAGGCAAATTCAAGCTAAAGGGCTCACCCATGCAGGCAGGGCATGGGGAGGTCCAACGCCATCCGCACCCTTGTGCAGACGCTGCGGAGAGCGGCATCCCGGCTGCCAACAGGCCCCGTGGGGTGTCCTTCCCCTTCAGAGGGGAAGCAGCAGCAGAAGAGGAGATGCCTGGGGGAAACGATTCCCCTACCAAGGAACCTCAGTGTCAAAGAGATGAAGGAAAAGCAGGAGAAGTGAAGAGCACAGCACATCAAACTACAGTTCAAACAGGCAGAAATATCCTCCGAGCACAGTGATGTCTACAGAAGGACCAGCTCCCGGCACTTTTTCCTTACCAGTTACACAAGCAGAGGCAAGGAGAGAGGAGTGGGGATCATTCCAAAGGGATTCAAGACTCAGCTGAGTTGCTTCAGATTTATCCTTTCTCCAAAACCTTTTTATGAAGATCTCACACCAACTACACATTAGGCAACTTTGATCTGGATTTCACTTCTCAATCTCATCTCTTTCCCCAAAAGGAGACCCAGAATCACTAATCACATCTCAGAAACACAGGATGGAAATGGAGACCTGGGAAGCAGTCTCTGCTCCGGGAAGGAGCGACAGGAGCACATCAGCCCAGGCTCTGGGTACCACGCTGCCCATCCCGGTGAGGCAGAAACAACCTCCCCACCCACAAAGGGTTACCATCCCTTCCCAAACTCACCTTCAGAAACTTGTACAGCAGAAACGTGAACCAATTCGTCAGCATCTTCTCTGCCACTGACTCCGTTCTGTAGGGGAGGCAGACAGCAAAGTTATCAGGAGAGGATATTAAAGGTCTGATCTCACCCGCTGCCATCTCAGCCTTGGACTGTGGCTATATTATTTTTGGTTTTAAAAGGTCACATCTGGCAAGTCAGAAGCCTCAAAGCAAAGGGGCACAAGCAGACAGTGAGGTCAGTGAGAAGCCTGTCCATCTACAAGGCTTAACCACAGCAGCCCCCCAGGAAGGAGAAGTAGAATCATAGAATCACGGAATGGTTTGGGTTGGAAGGGACCTTAAAGATCATCTAGTTCCAACCCCCCTGCCATGGGCAGGGACACCTTGCACTAGACCAGGTTGCTCAAAGCCACATCCAGCCTCGCCTTGAAGACATCCAGGGATGGGGCATCCACAACATCTCTGGGCAACCTGTTCCAGTGCCTCACCACCCTCTCTGTGAAGAATTTCTTCCTGATATCTAATCTAAACCTCCCTGATTTCAATTTGTACCCATTACCCCTTGTCCTATCACTACAGGCTCTTGTAAAAAGTCCTCTCCCAGCACCCTTGTAGGCCCCCTTCAGATACTGGAAAGCTGCAATGAGGTCTCCTCGGCGCCTCCTCTTCTCCAGGCTGAACAAGCCCAGTTCTCGCAGCCTTTCGTCATAGGAGAGGTGCTCCAGCCCCCTGATCATCTTCGTGGCCTCCTCTGGACTCGCTCCACGTGGTCAATATCCTTCTGATATTGAGGGCTCCACAGCTGGACGCAGCACTCCAGGTGGGGTCTCACCAGAGCAGAGTAGAGGGGCAGAATCACCTCCCTCGACCTGCTGGCCACACTTCTCTGGATAAATTGGTAAATTGGTCTGTGGTGTATTAGGAGATCCAGAGAGAGCCGAGCACGTCCTTGTCCCATGGGGAGTCTCGCCCAGGGAATGACCAGCTTTCCACCTCTCCCTGGTACCTTTTATTTAAATTAAAATTGCTTCTTGCATGGAATTCCAGTGGAACCAGGCGGCTCCCTCCACAGGAGGATGGTATGAGATACCTAAGCCAGGTTAAAAATCATACCTCCAGCTCCCCAGTTAAAGCACAACTTGAAGGGAAGAGCTGAGGGCGCAAGGCAAGGTCAGATCCTGACCCACCTTGCCACAAGAAGAGCACCTCCTCTCACGAGTGCCAGATCTAGCTGCAAGCCCCTCTCCCTACCTGGGAGCTGCTGCTCCTGCAACGCACTCAACACCGCGGCTGCCCTGACCCAGGCCCACCAAAGCTGGGTGTCATGGGACCTCCCCGCAACAGCCAAATAGCCCTTGATCTCTACAGCCTGAAAACCTGCAGTAGAGCATGAGGATCATCACCACCAATGCTGGCAGGGTAAGGAGTTTTCCCCAGCAGCCTGTGCAAGGTCTGTTCAGAAGAACTGCTGCAGAAGAGGATGCCTGGTTCTTGGTACTCAGCAGTGGTGACAGCGAAGCTTCAGGAGGTCACGCTCTGCACCCTCGCTTCTCCCCGTGCCCCTGCGCTTGGGCCTGGAGCTGGGTGGCTCTCAGACAGGGATGCAGAGCCCTGCAACGCAGAGAGGGCACTGGCCCGCTGGCACATGGCCTTGGTTAAATCACTGCTGGATTTAGTCCTGGAGACTTTGATCCCAATACAGTTTTGGTCAAATTTATTCCCAGTATAATTCAGCCAAAAACAAGGGGATTAAAGGAGGAAAAAGTAAATGCAGTGGCTGGAAGCTCAAGTTGTTCTCCATGTACCTTTGGATTTAACCTTTCCCTGTCTGTATGGTGGAAATCCTCGGTCTGTGTGTCTCCTGGGAGCTGGGTGGTGATGCAGGAGTTTGCAGTGAACACCTGCTCAAAAAGGAGCTTAAATACGGAGCTGTGCCTCTCAGCTTTTGGAGATGCAGTTGAAGGAAGCAGCCAAAACTGCCTTGAGAAAACCTATAAACTGCCCCTAGTTTTTTAAAGCTTGGTTCAAATCCAGATGGCAACGTGTTCCAAAGCGGCATGGCAGGGAAGGAAAGGGCTGGGGGAGTTGCCTGTGTCTGTTTGGGATCATCACCTTGCAGCGGAGGGAGGGCAGGATCCCTCAGGACAGGTGTGAGACATGGTGGGTCCAACAGGATGTGGGGACCTCGGGGTGGTGGCACTGCAGCCAGGATGTGCTGCACCAGCAGAGGAGAGGACAGCCTGGCATGAAGGGAGCTGAGGGTGACACGGGAGCCAGATGAACTGCACAGCCCCACGAGGGCAGCTTAATGCGCCTGTCCCTGCACCACAGCCTGGTCTTGCTGTCCTAAGATTAAATTCCCCTTCACATGTCCATTATTTTAAAATGGCTTTCACTCCCTTTAAAGAAAAAATTCCAGCCAGCCCCTGACCCTCTCTGGTTAGGCTTCTTCAGCTGATCCACCCATTAATCATCAGACCAGCCACGACAAACGCAGATGCTCCTGGAAGCACAAGCAATACTAGTAACTCAGAAACATGGCCACATTCCTGTTGCACCAGGGGAACGGACACAAACGGGTTGACTCAAGAAACAAAACCCAGAAGGAACCCAAACCTCAGAGCCACCTGGAAGAGTCCCACTGCCCAATGCCATGTGCTGCCCAACAGCAGTGCCATGGCAGATGGGCCAGGAGCAGTTCCCAATGGCCAGATGGGGTAGGAAATCCACTTTCCCAGAGTTTATTCAAGTGGACTTGGAGTTGTATGGTCCCATCCCAGGCTTTCTCTTGTGCTAATGGGGCTTAGCCCTTTTTGCCCTCCCTGGAACAGCACAGTCCTCCTTAAACCATGAGGGGACCGTAATACCTGAATCTCCAGAGGAGAGAAGCCTCCCTGCGCCAGGAAAGATGAATCCATCAAGCGGAAGGAAAAAGGGAGGAGGGATGCAGGGAAAAAACCAGGGGAAGGGGTGGACAGAAGCTACTCAGCAGGCACCCTGCCCAGCCCAAGACCAGGTAGAAATGTCTGCAACGGCACAGACAAGCCTGTAGCACTCATCTGAAGTGCCACCACCCGGGCTCCCGCGGATGTTTGTCTTTATCCGCGATAGAGCCAGATGCCACAGCAACGGGGGGATTATCCAATAACAAAATAAATAAATAACAGCTCTCTTCAGTTAGATCAATGTTAATCCAGTTGCCCTGGGTGGTAAGCACACTCTCACACCCAAGAGCAGGGCTAATCAAAAGGATGGAGAAGCACTGCCGTCAGCATGGCTCACTCTGTGCCGCCGCTGCAGGAAGAACAAAGTCTCTTCAAATATCGTTCAGGGAGGTACGTGCAAGGTACCGGTCAGGGAAACTCATCCCTGTCCTGAGCCTTCTGCAGCTCCACCTGCAATGGAATCCCAAATGCTGTGGCTCAGGACTGACAGTCTTCAGGCTGCTGGGTCTCACTGCACTGGCACAGGCTTGGCTCCGCTCCCACAGCTCAGCCACGGCAGCTACTGGCCTCCCGCACTGCCTTTTATTTATATTTTATTGTTTTACTTCATTCTGGTGTTTTGCTCTCATGGCAGTGGCTTCGTGATGCTCTGAGAGACCCAGGAGCTAGAAATGCAGTTTAAATATTTCAGTGAAACCTGGTGTCACGCAGGGACAGAAGGGGAGAGCCCAAGGATGCTCTTAGGGAACAGGGATGGAGGGACAGCATTGGGACCTCCACGACCCAGCCCTCTCCTGGCCAGCCACACGTCTGCACCACACTCCCCCTCTGGCACCTCGCTAATGAGGTGCTTTGAGAAACTAAGGACACCCTTGTGAAGTGATAAATGAAGCAGAGAGTAAGGAAGCAATCTGCCTAAAGAGTCCAGCCGAGGGAAGGCAGCAGGGATGTAACTGGGACCAGCTCACATCTGTATCTGTACCAGGCATCTCCCCAGGGCCAGGCACAGAAACCCAACAAGCTTTGTCGGGTCTGGCCATGCCATGAACACTGGTTGATGTCTAACAGATGCTCTGGTTTTCTAAAGCCTTCCTGGTGACATGCCAGAGGCCCTCAGCCACCGCTGCATCTCCGCTGGAGGCCAGTGGCACCGGGCTGGCAGGGATGGGGAGGCATGGTACGGCATGTGAAGGGAGAGGACAGCACAGAGGGCCTCAAACTGGGCCAGTGGAGCTTATTAATTGTTTTTGTTCAGTACTTGGTGTATCTTTCAATATTCATCAGCCCGTGATAAAGGAGAGCTCAGAGCTATCGTTAAATATTGATGGGCCAGGCAGACTCACGGCAGGGCTTGGCAGGCTGCCACCTGCTCACACTATCCCCCAGCCCTGCTGAGACTCCCAGCTTGCGAAGATCCACTTGGCTTTCCCAGGAAAACCCCCCATGTGCCTGGTGAGGTGGGCAAGCCCCAAGGAGGCAGCAGGGAAAGGACTCCCGCAGCCGGCAGTTGCCAAGCATCTTGCTCCCACCGTCCCAGACATCATGAACCCGCACAGACCAAACCAGAGCGAGAACTTCCCATGGGCTGCTCCTGAGCTGGCTGGGTCCAGGTGGTCCCACAACGCGCTCTCATACTCGCACGCAGACAGGCAAGGACACGCTTCCCCACAGACCCAGTGCCAAAGCCAACACTGAAGCTATCACTGATGACACCCTAAAGGACACCAGCTCATGTCCACATGCTCGGAAGCGCCTGGGCCCTGTCCCACAGCTCCGGCCTCTCGGATGGACACTCACCTCCGCAAGAGCAGCTTGGGGTGGTTCTTACTCTCCAGGTTCTTCTCGATGAGGTCAGAGAGGAGCTGCTTCAGCACGCCTGTGGCATACTCCATCTCACCCTGCAGCGCTGTCATGATGAGGGAAGCCACATTGCCACGGTCTCGCATGGAGAAACTCCGCTGAGCCTCCAGTGTGCGGATGAAGGTCAGCAAGAAGTGCTTCTTGTTCAGGAGCTGCCCGAAGAGAGTCAAGGACTTCTCCACGTTCGCCTGGACCTGCAAGGATAGAGCAAAGCTGGGAGATGGACACGAGGGGGAGGGCTATGAGAAAGTGGCTGGGCTGCACAAAACCCTTGATTCACCTACTTCCCCCAAAAGAAAAGGATGAAAAAGGGTCAAAAAGCAGCTGGATTTGCTTGCTCCATAATACCAAGCTTCCTCTTTGGTGACCAGCCTCAGTTCCCTCCAGAAGTACTATCCGGTCTGTAGTATCTCAGCACCAGGTTAACAGGCTCACGGCATTGACATATATACGTACACACACATACACTTCCATACAAAGACTCTCCCACATGTGTGCAGGCACATACACACACTTACCTCTCATAAACTCACTTTCTCTCCCAAACATACACACAAACTATAATTTTCAATTTCAGCTGACAAGCAGCTCGACTCCCACCCAAGACGCTGCAGCACGCGCTTCAGGTATTGCACAGAAAGCAAATAAAGCCACAACCCTGAGCTCTGCCGGCAGCAAACCTGTCTGGTTTGGGGGGGGCTGGATTTCAGACAGGGAAGCAAACAGCAGAAACCTGGCTCTGTCTCACTCCAGACCCAGCCTGAAATATTCCCTTGAGGTGTCTGAAGGTGTATTTCTGGCCATGCCAGACTCAGCAGGGTCTGGGCTGGGATGCTTTCATCCCCACGCTGCCATCGTCAGCCCAGCTCTGGTCAGCCCTGACCACATTCCTTATCAGAAACGAACATTTTTACAACACGTTTTCCCATTAGAAAAGATGGTTTCTTCTGAATAAGAGCCTTGCTGTGGTAAAACGTCAATTGTAATGACTTTTTTTTTCCCACCTCTTGTCTTCCAGATTGGGAGAATAAGTGAAAAATTTCATTTCATGTCGATATTGGGAGACAAAACAATACTTTTCATTTCAAAACACCAACTCAAATTGAAGAACAGGGTTTTGACACATCAAATTATTTCACTTCAATCAAAACTCTGGATCTTCAGTGAAATTCCTCAGAGTTGTGACTGCCCCCTCCAAAATGCTGTTTCCTACTGGTCAAAATCCCTGTTTCCCACCCAGTCCTTGTCACTTCTGCGATACAAGCCCCAGGTACCACGTGTCCCCTCGCTGTCACCTCATCACCCAGGCAAGTGGGTGCCTGTCCCAGAGCATCCCAAAAGGGTGATGGGTGAGTGACAAACCCTCTCTGCCCCTGTCCTCAGGGTTCTGCTCACAGGCTCCACGGGAACAAGCACGTGGCTCAATTTCCCTTAACGCGGGTCAGAGGATAACGTCCTGCTAGGAACAGAAATGCTTTCAATTGTTTTTTCACAGAGTCCCTCCAGACAACGCAGGAACCAGTGCAGGTTAAGATGGGCAGATGCCTGAAGTTCAGCAGCATCAGCTGCTCCCTGCGGGGAGGCAGAGATGCTGATCGCTTCCCCAGCACGGCAAGACCTGAGAGCTGGCTGGGGCACAGCGGCTGCACTGGAAACCCAGCAGTAACACTGGTGCTTTTGAAGCCAAGACCAGGCAAAGGAGATGAGGGGACAAGAGGCTTTTTCCCTTCAGCAAAACAGCAGGATCTCAGTAAGACTGGAAATGGGTCCTGTCCAACAGTGACCATCCCACCGAAGCCGTGGCAGGGAGCACTTGAGGACACGAAATCCCCATCACACAGAGCACGTTAATGCCTGAGCCCCCCACACAGCTGTCGCCTCCCTGGACCCCCATGTTTAACTTGCTGATGATCACCAGAAATAAACGAACAATACCTAATTAAGTATCTAATCAGGCTTAAATTCACACAAAGCAACAAACCTCCCTTCCCAGAACCTAAAGAGAAAGGGAGTGGGTACCGACAGCTTGATGCTTGCTGTGGATTAGCGTGTGCGTGAGCAAGTGCCGTTTCCCTCCCGTCACTTGCGATAGCTAATGTTACACTCTGAGTAAAGAGACAAATAAAAGCAAACCTGATTAAATTATATGAAGCTTACACAACTGTAGTTGCCTTATTTAATCTCTTCTGGGGATTTTTTTTTTTTTTTAGCTCCTATGCAACTTTAACCCCTTGTTTTCCAGGCCAGGCTGAGCCGGCACGTTCTCTCAAGTGGGATGTTTTGAATTAGGAGCTGGAAGGAAACTAACTCCCACCCAGCCCCCAGCAGCCAATGCAAAATTACTCCCCTGATACCCTCTTTGATACCCTTTCCACCACTCTCTCTCCAGGGGAAACCCGCAAGAGCAGAGGCGAAAGGAGAGCCAGGCGTTTGCACAGGCAGGAAGGGCTGTGCCCCAGGGAGAGCTACAATCACGCCTGCTGGGGCTCTGAGCATCCGGAAACCGGAGCTGCAAAGGGGAAATCCATGGAAACAGGGTCCCCGCTACCCTCAGAGCTAGGATTAGGGACCAGGGAAAGAGGGCGGGCAGAGGGCCAGGGGCCCCGCTGCAGCCATGCTGCCGTACACCACCAGCACGTGCACTTACAGCCCGTACGAGCTTGTTGCATTGTAATTAGTGACCGTGCATCTTGCACCAGAGCCGATTACTTCTCCTAAACACATTGTGAAGCCCACGTCGACATTAATTACTGTGCTGGGTCAGCAGCGAGGGGAAGCTAAGGTCACCCCCCCACTTCTCTAATCAAGAGCGGCCTCAGCAGCCCAGCAAACGAGAAGCCAATTGCTGTGCAATTGCATGCACTAAATTAAACAGACGTGGGGAGGACGGGAGAGGAGAGGGAGCTGGTTTGGGGAGCAGGGGAAGGATGCCAAGGATGGGTTCTGCATGGGGAAACGGAGCCAAGCAAGCAGGCGATGTCAGACAAGCCTGCTAGAAACGAGCGGCCGGTCAGGCATCAAACAAACCCAATTGAATAAAGCAAGTGCTGTAGAAAATGACAGCAGCGATGATATTAATATAAATATTGATATTAATGTCAGAGAGCGCAGGAACCATCGGGCAGCCGCTCCGCACGCGCATCGGCTGCCACGCAGCAAGATGCTCCTTGCTGCATCAGACCGGGCCAGCGTCCAACCAAAGCATCTCTCCAGCTGGGGCACGGGGACTCATGCGGGGGGGTACGCAGGGGCCCGTCCCCAGCGTGAAACACTACAGACACAGATAGACCCCCACCTCCATCTCCTTCAGCACAGGGTGGTCCTCTATCCCCGGGAAAAGAACCCGCATGGCGTAGGTGCGGTAATCCAGAAAGGGGATGCCAGCCCCATCCAGGTCGTTGGTCAGCTCGTTAATATCAGTCTGCAGCTCAGCGAAGGCTAGAGTGGGAAAAACAGAATTAAGCAATACATCCCGGAGTCCCAGCACGCAGCATTGGCACCCAGCCTCCGCCGCACCCCCCGGGCACCCCATGGGTGGGACGGCCCAGGTGTGAATCGGCTCCTCATCCCTCCCCCCTGAAGGCTGTGAAGGCTGTCCCCGTCTCACAGATCCAGAAATCGAGCTGCAGAGGGTGGGGATGACTTCCCCAGAGTACATCAAGACTTCAGAACAGGACCACCAGATCCTGGGGGGCTCAAATCCCCCCTGCTTAGCACTCACAGCCTGCCAAGGATGTTGGGTGCAGGGAGAACAGCAAGGCCTGAACAAAGCCAGAGTTTCTGGGGGAAAACATTAGCCTAAACCACAAGAATGTCCTCATTTCTTTTTGACCTAAATACTACTGGAGAGAAGAACTTGAACACACCCACCCTGGCACCTCCGGATCCAAGCAGAGGCAGCCACAACTCCCAGGGGAACGCGATGCAGGGGGGTCCTGAACCTTTAATTGCACCTACAGGGAAAAGCTGACGGGAGAGGAGTCCCGGAGATGCACCAGGGACAGGGGTTGGGGAGGGGAGGGGGGCAGAAAACCCTCAGAAAAATCAAATTAACGGTACTTTAAAGGGAGCTGAAAGCCAGGCAGAGGACTGCAGGCTCGTCAGCCTGATGAGAAAAAACAAACCGTCAGCTTGAAAGGCACGCTATCTTATCTGTAACTAGTGGGACTAGAAAAGAGAAAAGGCAGGGAAGAGATTGTGCCTTTTAATTAAAAGCAGATCCTTTTATCTGCCAGCTGTGGAAGACAAGACACCATCCCCTCCACCAGCTCCCTCCCCTCTCCCTGTCACCAGTGCCATCCGCAGGCATCTGTAGGGATGAGGATTTGGGGGAGCAAAGGGTTTTTCTTTCTTCCTCGTTTTTATTCTCTTGCTTTCGATGCCTGCTCTATCCGCAGCGCCCGGGCTGGCTGGGGATGGCAGGGCTGGGGCCTCGGGAGCCAGCTCAGGAGGATAATGGGCAATTAGGTTTTATCAGCAGGATCATAGAAGGAATTCTGTCCAATTTCACAGCACCCGTCTGTCACATAATGAGAGACCGACTGCCCGCTCGCAGGCAGCCCTCGCTACCGTCCTTGCTCTCTTTTCTCCCATTTGGAGAAGCAGAGAAGAATTCCTTAACTGGAAAAATCTCCAAATCCCAACCAAAATGAGTTTGCTTCCTCTGACAAAGCAGTTTTGCCCATTCCCTCTCTGGAAGGCAGTGGGAAAAGGGTGGGAGCACACTCAGCCTCAGGACGGTACAAGACCTTCCAAGACCCCCCAGTCGGCAGCAGAGGGATCCCTCACCCTCCTTGCACTCCAGGGCCACCCGGGACTCCAGGTTGTCCATCTGCAGCTGGAGGCGTTTCAGGGTCCGGTCAGCATCCCGGGATTTGCGCTTGTAGGCGATGAGGACGATGATGATGATGAGGAGGAGCAGACCACCGCCACCACCAATCCCGATGATGGCGGGCAGGGTGAGCAGGCTGTCCGAGTAGATCTGCAGCGTCCCCGGGGAGAACTCGAACCCTCCAGCCTTGATCTGCACCATGGTGGGGGGGAAAAAGGGCACGGTGTCAGGGGCCATGCACCCAGGGCAGCCCTCCCCGCTGTGCTGGGAGCTGGGGGATGACTCCCAGCCCAGGGAAAGAAGGATACAGAAAATCCCAGGGATGGCAGGAGTTGGTCCAGAGCAGCACGGTGTGCTTTAATGGGATGCAGGCTACATACTACTGTAGTGGGCAGAGTTTGATGTCTCATTCAGACAACATTACAGTAACAGATGGGATGTGAAGCGAGTTCCCCCAGGGGTGGGGAGCATGGGGGAGACCGTGCTGGGTCCCTTTCAACCTGGCAGGGTCCTGGAGCATGAGCACTGCTGCACTACAACCCCACAAACAAAGGAACCTTCCTTATGGCATGAGCCAGCACCAGGGGGAAGGGGTGGGAACTCCCCCTACACCAGCACAGGCTGTGCCTTGGCACCCAGGGGAGAAGGGAGGAGGTTGCTTGCAGAGCCACCCACGGTGCAGGAATTCCCAGCTGAGCGTGCTGGGGAAGGGACAAAGTATTCGGTCCTACCAAACATAATTAGGGAGAGCAATGACCGGGGAGCAAAAAGAAGGCTCCTAAGGATGCTCCTGCACATGCACCGACTATCCGGTCCTCATCCAAGCATGAGCACGCAGCAGGGCCGGGGCCAGGATACAGACCGAACCTCTGTGACACACGGAACACGAGAAGCAAAGGCACCAGTGCTGGCATTTACCGTGACTTTGTGCTGGCCAGTGAGGTTGGGGGACTCGCAGAGGAGCTGGGTCTCAGAGACGGTCAGGGTGCAGGGAGTGTCTCCGATCAGCACCGTGTAGTTTAGGCGGGAGTTACCAGCAGCTGGCGGGAGCAGGTTCCTGCCCTTTGAGGGAACAGAGAACAAGATTGTCAGTTCTCATACAACAGGGAATGCTTAAAAAACCCAACACAAAGCAAGCGCATACTCTTGCAGTGCAGGACTTTGCCCCAGGAGACACAAAAGGCACCTCCATGGAAGTCCACATCCCTATCCCTCTGCCTTACCTTGAGGATGAGGGGAGAGCTGGGCTTCAGCTCCAGCATGCCTGTGGGGCGGAGCGGGTCAAAGACAGGGTCCGGGTAGTAAACGAAATTGGTGGTGTTGACGATCAGCAGGGCCTGGACGTTATCCATGACGAAGCCGATCTCATCCGGGCGGTCGCCAACCTCCGGAGGACTGCGCACGGGGTTGTCGATGGAGGGCGCGTAGCACACCATGGTGGTGTCGTTGTAGACAGTGCAGTTCTACAGGAGGCACGGACTGAGGTCAGACCCAGCTCCTGAGGGAGGTCAGGATCCAATCCTGCAAGGATCTCCTGCAAGCAGTGGCTCTGGACACAGGGTTTAGACTTGGGATCTCCTATCCTGTATCGTTACATCAACAGGCACCACATTCCATCCCAGGGCAGAGAAAGACTCCTGTCTGCAATGGATGTGCAAGGGGTGGCAGATGGGAGCTCGTTGGACACAGGCTCTTTCTGTCACTATACTGCAGACATCCCACAAACCTCCCTTCAGTTTTGCACGCTCAGATCTCAACCCTCTCCTGGAAGCACCTGGCTGGAGCCCTGCAGTGAGATCAGTACCCCACTTCGGGTGGCTGCCGCTGGACCTCAGCCCCTCCAGACCATCACGCCTGATGGGCAAGGAATGCGCTTTCCGCCCTGCGTTGCAGAGGGACAGCATCTCTCCTCCTTGTGCTCTGCCCCCAGCCCCACTTACGTTCTCCCTTTCAGAGTTGCAGTACTTGGCCCGGATCCTGGGCTCTTTGATGGTGGCCAGGTTGGTGCCAGTCACGGTCAGCAGCGTCCCACCGCTAGAGACATGGAGACAATGGGTTAGGAGGGGCAGCTTGGCACTGGGTCCCCACTTCTGGGAGGGAAGTGTCCATCCTCAACAGCCAGACACCCATCTGCCCCAGCCTGGGTGCAACCACAACACCCCAGGGACCTTTTATCCCACCCAGATGTCACCACAGCCAGCAAGATCTGGCATTCACCACCACCACATCTTCTCAGCTGACCCAAGGGCCAATGAGAGATATAAAACCTGCCTAATTACCACTAACACCCTGTCGCTGGGGTCTGACAGCAGCTCCCAAGCTAAAGGAGACTGGGTGCCAGCAATGGGAAAGCACCCCGAGGAAGAGGAGGTCCTCTCTGCCATCGCCATCGCCATCCCCACCACGCAGGCAGCGGGTGGCAGGGCAGGCAGAGCCCTGCCGGGTTTTCTCCACGGCGGGGTGTTAAAAGCCCCACGGTCCCGGAGAATTCAGCCATGCCCCTGGGGAGCTCGCTCCTCATCAACACCCTGGGGAAGGTTTCCCTTGGCGCTAGCGCTTAATGGATTCCTTCGCCCCCTCTCCAGCCAATTCAAACCTTTTAGAAAAATATGTAAACATTTCAAAAAATCCCCCGATGGGAAATATTTTAATTTTATTCGCCGCCGCCAAATGTCAAGCTGAAATTAAGCAGATCCAAAGCGCTCTCTGCTTTTGCCCCCTGCCAGGCTGAGCACTGCAGGCCAGGAGTTAGCAGGGCCACGGTGCCAAGCTATTGCTCACGCTCCTTTCGCCACGTCTCTGGAGCACAGCCTGGCAGCTATCACAGCAGCACTGAGATGCATCCCCCATCAGGAGGAGGGGATCCGTGTGGAAAACAGCCCCCTGTGTGTCCCACAAGCTCCCGCGATTCACCTGTTGATGCTCCACTCAGGATCGATTTTCTGGATGGTGGGATCCTCCGTGTAGTTGTACTTCACCTCCGGGTTGCTCAGCTCTGCCCGGTTGATGTTGATGAGGATGGGGGAGCCACCGGGCGTGTGGCCAGGGGGAGTCCTGCACCGGATCTCACGGGCGCTTCTCCTGGGGCAGAAACACACATCCCGTCAGAGCCTGGGCAGGAGGGTGACGAGGGCGGTTGATGCTGCCCGTGAGTCCCCTTGTCCCAGCCCCCCTCCCTTTCTGAAACCGCAGTGGGGGAGGGAGGGGTGTGAAGAGAGAAAGGAGGAAAAAAGGAAAAAAAAAACCCCAAGGAATGAAACAAAAGGCATCTGGGAAAGGCTGAGCAGCTCCTGAGCGTTCCCATCGCGCGGCTGCTGCAAACAGCAGCGATTAGGGCTGATAACCAGTAATTACCACAGGAAAATATTTAAAGAGCCGCTCCATTATCATCCCTAATCTAAAAATTATCCACTTCATGCCTCAGGGTTTTGTGCTTTTAGAGAAAAATCCCTGTTCTTTGGGCTCTTCTTGAAGCCTCCGACAGACACACAGAGGTTTCTGGGGAGATGCCTCTGGCTGCCCGTGGGATTTGGCTCCTGGGGTCCCTCCTGGCTCACCAGCGTGGGCTCCCGGCCACTGCTCTACCTGGGGGTCCTGCTGCCTCTGGAGGTGCCCATCACCCACTTCCCTCACCCCCCGCGCCCCTCACCATGAGAAAGCACAGGGCCGTCCCCCGATAGTCACGGAGACGTTGCTGCCGGCGTTGAGGTGGCTCCCTTCGATGGCAATCCAGGTGCCACCAGAGAGGGGGCCGCGGGCTGGGACCACACGGGAGAAAGTGGGTGTCTGCCAAAGGAAAAGAGCATCCCTCATGTCGGATGGGCTGAGGACTGAAACCCACGTCCTCAAGCAGCCCTGAGCGGGTGATGGGACCACAGGGGAGAGAGACCTATGGGACAGTGGCAGGGCATGGTGCTACAGGCTGGCAGTGCCAGCAGGACTGTGGGGAGGCAGAGCCTTGGAGAAATCCAACCAGCATCACCCAACACCTGCCCAGAGCATCCCCACCTGCCCCCCAGGAAAATGATGGCTGATTTTCCAACTCACCAGGGAAACCACCCAAAACTCCCTGGCATCACTTCCCTCCCCCCGTGCCAGACCTGTCCCCCAGCTCAGGGCTTACCACGAAGGTGAAGCTCTTGGGGGACACGGCCCGGTAGCTGGGCGAGCAGTTGCGGATGCACACTTCCACACGTGCCTCATGGACCTTGCTTGGGCTGGCATCTCCAATTTCACACACGATCCTAAGTGATGAAGGGAAGAAGCCCTCAGTGCCCCGGCACCGAGATGCTCCCTGTGCCACAGTGGGGATGGAACGGCTTCAGGAAGGTACAGATCTGACAGCAAGCAAAGGTCCCAGATGCCAGCAGGTTCATGAGAAACCAAGGCGGTGGCTGTTGGCACAGCCAGCCCCAAGGGTAGCTTCCCCAAAGTCTCTGGGCTCCTCCCAGGGCAACCACAACCAGCAGTACTTCCCTCCCAGGTCAGCCCAGTCAGGTCCACGTCTTCTGCAGCCACAGGCAGCGTCTGACTGCCAGCACCCCTGTCCCCCACCTCCCAAGGTGACCTGGAGTGTGCCCACCCCTCGCTGGGCACTTACTGCTCAGCGCTGATGTACTCGCTCTCGATGGGGATGCACACCACTTTGCCAACCCGAACGCCCCAGCGAACATCTTCAAACTTCAGGCCCAGGTTCTCGCCAGTGATGGTCAGACGGGTCCCTCCTTGCCTGGGGCCGGTCTCAGGTGACAGCTAGGAGAGAGCATGGCTGTCAGCCAAGGGAGCAGAGCCACGGGGCACCTCGCTTGGGCAGGCTGCAACGTTACTCCCCCACGAGCGGTGAGGAACAGACGGGTGATGATAGACACCAGCACATCTGCAAGGAGCCCACAGAGCAGGCAAGACTTCACAAATGACAGACACATCCACAAATCCCCCCAGGAACAAGCCAGGAGATGCCAGATGTGGCTGAGCAGAGGGTTGGGATTTGGACACCTCGCTGCAGGAGCCACCCTGCAGGTGACAAGGGCACTGATGGGAAGGAGACAGGGCAGCATCAGCCACAGCTCCAGCTAAGCTGCCACGGAAGCATGTGGATCTGCTTAGCCTTTGGCCAGGTCCCACATAGCCAGGGATGAGGTCCCCAACATCCAAGATGTCCTCAAAGAAGAAAGCATCTCCTCCAGATCCCTGCCCATGGCAGGCAGGGGGAAGAGGGTTCTTACTCTGCCAGCAAATGTTGCGTCAACGCGGGCTGGGAAAGGAAGGGATCTCAGCCTGGCACCGCACCTCATTTACCGGGATGATGCCCAATAAAGCGGACAGGTGTGGCCTGACAGACGGTAGCGGGATGAAGGATGAACGGAGGCACGGGCCCACTGCTGCCTCCAACCAGGCAATTACAGGCAGTTTTACATCAGCGCTCGCTGGCCCCGGGGCCCAGCGCCCACCTGCAACACTAACTGGGATGAATGGCAGGGCTGGGCACCCCATCTGGGACAGGGGATGGGGATGGGGCTGGGTCACCAGTGACACAGAGATGGAGCAGGAGAAAAGGCAGCTGCAGGCGAGGGAGAGAGGAACAGAGGCTGCACCGGTCCAGGAGGAAGGAAAAGGGACTGTTTTCCTGCAGGTAATGTTCTCCTCTGCCTGTGCCCCTGCAGTGCTGGCGGAGGTCCCTCACCTCTGCTAGAGGTAAGCCCAGCACCTGGAGAGGCTCATGCTCGCGCTACGACCAAGCACCCGCGAGCTCTTTGCATTCTTGGCAAATCTGGGCAGCTGCAACCCTGGGGCCTGAGCCAGCTGGGGCTTCCTCCTTTTCCTCCTCCTCCTCCTCACGCAGGGTTAGTCCTGGATGTCACACCCGCAGTGAGAAAAGGCGGACGAGCAGAGGGTGGGAAACATGCAGCAGTGGACTGGGGTTAATCACTGTCCTACAGATTCACACTGGGCTGATCCCCTTCCGTACACTCCAACAGGGGCAGCTGCTCCCCACATACAGGCAGCCTGTCCCAAGGCCGCGGCGGAGCCGGGGTCAGCCACAACTCACGGTTTACACCGCAACAAACCCCTCCTGGGGCTGTGGGGAGCCGCTGTTTGCCTAAACCCAGCTCAGCACCTGCTCAGTTCCAGGATCAGAGCTCATTACGGGCTGTATCCAGCATCAGGTTGGGTCCCTCCCTTAAACTGAGCTCTGCCGGGGCGGCTGGCAAGCAGCGGCTGCTTGTTTGGTGTTTCTAAATGAGTGTTAAAAGCTGCTCTGGCGCACTACATGCCTCCTCCTCCGCGGCAAAGCTGACAAGGGCCACGCGTTCGGGGAGAAACAAGCCCGGGACTGAAATGCCATCGCTGGCCGCCCAGCGCAGGGAGGTCAGAGCAAAACAAGGTATGAGGGAGGAGAGAGCTGGTGAGGAGAGCCGGGGCCGCTCCAGCTTCCCTTTCCCGCCTTCCACCTCTGAACCCCTGTCCCCGACAAACATCGCCACGTTCCTGCTAATTGGTTTCATAGGGTCCTTTTACACCAACAGGCGAAGGGCTCCAGTGGGCGCAAGCAGTGGGCTCATCCCCGGCTCCAGTAGCCACAGCAGGGCCAGGAGGTTTTTCCCCCACCACCCTATGCTGCCCTCTCCGCACCAGGCTGCTCTCCAGACCATTTCCAATCCTGCTCGCAGCCCAGGATGCGGGATGGGGGTTGTGGGAAGCAGCAGGCAGAGGCAGGCTGCCGGAGGAGCACCACACCGACACCTACGCACACACACACCGACCACCAGCTCCTAGGGCACTAACACACAGCAGCACCAAGGTCAAGCCCTCCTGCTAACAGCTTCTGCTGCACCTGCAATTACTGAAAATCTCCTAATTCAGGACAGAAGAGCTGCTACCACGGCTGGACACCATCAGCTGCTGGGAAGCTGCTGGGAATGGCATGCACAGGGATGGATGCCTGTGGCCCTGGCCACGCGAGCACTAGAAGACTGAGCACAATCTACAGCGAAGCCACCATGGGCCACCCCCGGCGTGACACAGCCACCATCACCTCTGCTCCCACCATCCCCAAGGGATGGGCTTTGGGAAATTCAGCCCAAACATCACAGGAAGCCATTGGGGACAGGGAGCTCTGCAGCCCCCCACACAGCAACGGGCCTCCTTGTAGGGATACAGGCTCCGGAGCTCAACCCTGCTCCCCCAGGGAATGGATCCCTTCTCCTGCCAGCCCCAGGCAACTCTCTGCAAGCAGGACTTCTCGAAGGCAGTGCTCTTTGCAGGCAGGAACTCCCTCTCCCCAAACGGCTGCCACCCTGCACACTGGTGCCCTGTGAGAGGCAGGCAGTGCAGCAGAAAAGCAAGACTCTCATTTCCAGCTTCCATCAGATAAGACACTGAAACCCAAACAGATCAGATCCTGTGCTAAGACTCTGGTAATTAACACCAGTGGGGCCCGGCCAGCCACAGGTAAACAGAAGGTGTCCAGCAGAAATACCCACCAGTCCCTCCTCATGCACTCAGTGCCCTGCCCAATAGGCATGTGAACATTAATCTATGCAATCTTATTAAATGAAGGTCGTAAAAGCTGTCAGGGAAGGGGGATGATGAACTACCGGCGCACATGGGGACTAGAGGAGGAGCAATGCGGAGCTGTGGTTTTCCCAGGATCCCTCAGCCAAGCGCAGGGATCTCGGAGATGGGCCAGCAAGCTCAAGCGTGCAGTGGTGGTGGAGAGAGGGTTTTAGCCTTGGAATGAAAGTGGCAACAAGAGACGCTCAGTCCTAAATACCCAGTAGATCTGGCTGCTGGGAGGTGCCGCCAGAGAGCCCCATTCCCATCATCCATCCCAGTCCCCTGGCACAGGGCATCACCCCTGGTCCGCCCCCACATACCTTGGTGATCTTGGGGTCGGTGCAGCGGCTGTTACCACTGCTGGCGTGCATCCAGCTGCTCTCATAGGCCAGGCAGTGCTGCCGCAGCGAGCAGCGCCGCTCCAACACGCACCAGCCACACTCAAAGCGTGGGTCAGCCTTCAGGCACAGGCCGCAGCTCTCCCGCAGGGCCGAGCACTTGTACAGGTGGGCTGCAATGGCACAAGGAGCACAGGGGTCAGCATGGCCACCCTGCCCATGGGCTTTTGGGAGAAGGGCACCCACTCTTGCCCCTGATGCTGAATGCCAGGGGAGCAAACCGCCATGGGCAGGGAGCATCAGCACCCTGGACTCAATGCTGAGGCAGAGCTCTGGGCTCTCTCCCAGAGTTTCTTGGAGAAAAGCACCTTGTTCAAAACCCAGCTGATAGATGCAGCTGGAGCATCGCTCCTTCACCATGGCACTGGTGCAAACTGCAGTCAGGGCAGGGGATAGAGATGGGCTGAAGCTCAGGATGGGCACCAGGCTGCCTTCCCACCCCTGTCCCACCCCTCACTCACCCTGGATGTTCTGGGGGTTGTCAATGACGAAGTTCCCATTCCAGACCACAGACAAGTTGACTGGCAAGTCGCTGATGTCATTCCCTTCGTAGAAATACTGCAGGAGGGGACAGAAGGAGGCAGGGCCTGTTAATTGTTGAGGCAAAACACCCTGGTGAGGGGCACAGAGGCATACAACCCCAATAGGTGGACGTCTCCCACCCCCTCAGAGGAGAGGGACTGGGGCCTGCTTCAAAGCATCAGACACAGCACATGCAAACCAGTAGACTGGACTGGCAAAAAAGATAAATAAGCAAAAAAGAGGGTTTCTAACGGGACGCAAACCACATTAATCCGAAGGTCTGAAGATGCTGTGAGAGAATGAAGCAGATGGTGTCTCTGTGGCACACATGTACCACTCCCTGCCAGGCACCCGAATGCTTCCCTGTGTTCTCCCGTCTCCAGGGACACTCCAGTCGAATGTTTGGGATTAGGTTTGGGATCATGCTTATTACTAGTGAACCTCGGAAAGGACAGGCTGGGCACATGGCAGGAGTGGATTCGGCAGAGCCATCCCTGACACAATGCAGGAGGATGTCTCCCGCGATCCCTTCCAGCCCCATCACCCATAACACAATGACATAAAGCTGTGGCCACGCGGCCATGGGTGGGTCAGAGCCAGGCACCAGCCTGGTGCCACATCAGCCCCTGGAAAGATCTTGGGAGAGCATCCCTCCCCTCCACGTGTCACCTCCATACCACAGCCCCAGCTGTAACCCAGTCCAGGACCAGCACCACCACCCTGATCTCCTCAGCTCCCATGTAGGGAAGTGACACTGGGGGATCCCACCCCCCGGCTCTAGGGGACCCCAAACTCAGGCCACAGCACCTGCTGCTATCTGGACATACCCACCCCCATTGCTTCTTCCAGCCTGGCCAGTGCCTCCTCCCCACCCAAACCCCTCTCCCGGTGCAACACCTAAGCCCCAGCCCCAGCTGCCCCATCAATATTCCCTGCACAGCCCCTGCATGCAGGCGAAGAGGTTTAATCGATACGGAGGCAGGATGGCAGTCGGAACCGTCCCTGACAGCTAATGACCTCCTTCGGCAAGAGATTCCCTGCTCCTCGCCCGAGAAAATGACAGGCATGTCAGGAGAGATTAAATGAATGATTCATGGGTTGCTGGAGTTTGTTAGGGAGCGGCGGACATGCCGGCAGCGGCTCCCCCCGGCACCGGGCGGGCACCTGCCACTACCTCCAGCCAGCATGAGCCCTGGTGCAAACCTGGAGACGGTGGCCTCAGCATCTCCTCCAGCACTGCCCGGCCGCTGTCCCACAGAGCATTTGTCCCTGCCAGCCCCAGGGACTACTACAGTGGGTCAGGTCTGCTCTGCTCATCCCCCTCCACAGGAGACAGGGATGTGGCCCACGAAAGAAGTCAGCATGTCCAAGTGGCTGCAGAAAGCAGGAGACACTTGTGTGGTTCTCAACTCACTGCAAGGCTGGTCCCTCCCGTGTCACGTCTCCCAGCTGGAACAGCATCATCAGCCGAAAACCAGCATCAGATGCCACCAAAACGGGGCACATGCCCGATATGAGAAATGGCTATGGCAACACCCCCCCTTCCCCGAACCCCACAAGGTGCATAGGAGAGGCTAAGCCTGGTCCTAGGTTACACCTCCACACTTTTTGGCTGGTGGTCCTACCCCCAGGGCCACCCCAACCAAACACTGGGGAGGAAGGGATGTCGTACACAGCAGCTGTAAGGCATGAGACGTCCAACTGCAAACTCAACCCTTTCTTGAACACTGAACAGCTCCATCACCATCTGCCCACTCCAGAAAGAGCCCCACCACTTCCCACGCAGTCTCTCGCTCATGGCAACTTGTGTGGTGTTTGCTCGGACGACCTTCAGCCACATCTCCATCACACACCACCTACAACCACAGCACCTCAGCAACATCACCAAGCCAGGGAAGGTGGACCCACAACCGCGCTGAGAGTCCCGATCTGTTCACTTCCCTCTATCCTACACCCACCCAAGGACATTCCCGACAGGACCACGATGAGGAGCGGGCCAGACCTACAGCAGTGAGCATAGCCCATGCCCTGGCAGCGGGAGGGAGTGCGTGCTGGGGAGGGCGGCAGCGGTGGCGGAGCAGAATTTAGCTGTGACGAGCCACGTGGCAGCATAAGTGAAATTGGCATTTTCAATTTGTACTCTGACATGTCTCATTTGGGGCCCTGGCATCTTGGGAAGGCATCCAGCCTGCAGCTGTCCAAAACACTTATTTGCATCTCTCTGCCCCGGCTGCTTTTGGAAATTAGTTCTTCTGGGAGGTGGGCTGGAGGAAGAAGAATAGGGGGAGAGGGAAGGAGAGCATTAACTCTTCACGTACCAGCCCCAAGACAGCACATGCACAAGACAGTGTCCCTCTGGGAAAGGGCAGGGTTCCCCCTCCAAGCCACCGTGCTGAGGACGCTGGATTTGCTGTGGTGTGGAGCTGGAGTGGACGGCAGGGAGCAGCCAGGAGCACAGGGCTGTGCGGAGGGAAGTGGCAAGCAGGAGTAGAAGTCATGGCCCCAGCTGGTGTTCGCATCATGGGATCACCAAAGGAATGTGGATATCAAGGAAAAACGCATCCTCGGCACCTGGGTTTCGGTCAGCAGCGTCTCACCTGCCCTGCAGAGATGGGCAGCAGGCTTGTGGCTTGGATGCTGTCACTGCTCCTTGTAGGATTGTAGAGCCGAAGCGGCAGCTTGGCTGCATGCAGGCAGGAGCTCAGGGCTCAGCCTCCTGGGACACTGCAGTCCACCCAATCCCTCTCTAATTTCCAAAGCACCTCTTATTCCGAAGGATGTTTCCAAGGCCTCCCTGCAGCTGCTGCTTCCATAGCATGGGCAGGAAAATGCCCTCTCCACACGTGTGGGCACAGCCACAGCCAGGGAGGTGGCAGCATCCAGGCTGCAGCAGCTGAGCAAAGCAGTGGCCACTCTCCAGCCCTGGAGGCCCCACAACCCATGGGGATCAGGCAGGGGTGCTTACAGGTCTCTCCATCCCACAGGATCCAGACAAGAGCACACAGGAAGCCAGCAGATCCCATCATGCTGGCTCCTCCCTGCTTCTAGCTAACACAGTGCTAAACATCCATTAAACACTTAACTGTTATTAACTTCCTGGCTAATCAATCGCTGTGGCTGGCAGGGATCTGGGATGAGCTGCGGGAAGGGAGGGGAAGCCAGGGTGGGTGTGAGTGGAGGGATGCAGCTACCCAGGCAACCCAGCTAGCAGACCACCTTTCACTCTACACAGGCGCCCAGGACCCCCTGCCTGTGCCACAGGATGGGGCAGGGCAGCTGCCTCCAGGACGAGTTACTGGAACAGGAAATTTTTTTTAGGAGCAAAAAATAGGCACAGCCCTGAGAGCAAACCAATGGCACCCAGGAGAAGTGTGCTCATGCTGCACGGTCCACAGAAGGGGAAGAGAGGAAAGATGTCACCGAGTGAGTCAGCAACAGGGATGTGAGCTGCCTGGCTCCTCACCTAATGCAGCCAGACTCTTCAGCCTGCTCTGGAAGAGCCTGCAAGGAGAGCGTGGAAGGGCCAACGGAGAACACACCAGCCCCACCAACCCAGATACAGCTATTCCCAGCAAGGTCTCTTGCAGGGACATGGTTCAGGCAAGAGGACACCAAGGCTTTCGCAAGGCTCTTCACCCAAAGCTCATCTCAGGCATCTTCCCAAGTAACAGCCAACAATCTTGTGTGCTCCTCATTGCTCCAGTTCTCATGCCTGCCCAACCATCATGGGGAGGCCCACCGGCCCAGCACACTGCAAGGGCTCTGGGTGCCACCTCCCCTGAAGGTCTCACATTTGGTCCTAGCAAGCTCACTGCTCACCCACCATCTAGCAGCAATGAGCACCGAGATCCACCCAGCTTCCCTTGGGCTGAGGGATTCCGGTGCCTCCAGGGAGCTGCACTCCCAGGACCACAGCCAGCAACGGGACACTTCAAATCCGGGGGCGGACTGCACTGAAATGCACTTCGGGATGCGCCTGCAAGCACCGTGCCAACTAGCCAAACGCACTAGCCCTTCCCATCAAAGGCAGGGTGGCCCCACAGCCATGGCACCCCTTGCCACACAGTATCCATCCCACAACCCAGCATGCGAACGAAGGGAGGGACCCTGCTCCCCCAGGAAGGCAGTGGGGGGGCTGTTCCTCTGCCCTCTGCGAGCAAACCCACACATCCAAATTTCCCTTGCAACCCCCCCTCCCTCTCACATGCACCATCCCCCTGGGCTGCATTTCTGGAGGAGTGCTTGGGCTGCAGCTGTGTCCTATTTTTCTGTAGTTGATGACCTCAACTCCTTCCCCGCACTACAGGGACGGCAGTAATGTACATCGCGTCTCGCCAGGGCTCAACTGCAATTCATCATTATTTTATCTGCTGGAATTTAATTGGATCCTATCAAACTCTCCTGATACTCCCTTTTCACTTTAAACAGTGCTGCAGGAAAGATAAATGTAGGCACTGCTAGGACGGAGAGCATGGCTTTGTTGGCGAACGGTGCTGGGGTTGTTGGTTCCAATCCTGTTTCCCTCTCCGTGGCTGGTTAATTAGAGATACATACGCTGGAGGTGCACGGCGCTCAGCACAGGGCATGTGTGTATGATTTATGTTCCTCTATAAATACACCCTAGGCCTAGTAAAATACCATCATCCACACAACAGCACAACTTGACGGTAACACTTGGCCTCTGATTCTGGATCTCCTTTTGCTCTTTACACATAAATATCTTCCTTTCCTCCCTCATCACATGCAAGACTCTTTGCCTGTATTCCTCCCGCCTGAAATTCGGCGTGGTGTGAGAACCCAAGACCCTGAGAACACATCAGAGCAACACCCAGGCTCCACCACAGTACAGAAATACCCAGAAAGGGTAAATCTAACACATCTTGCCTGCTTTCCCAGCACCCATGCCTGGGGCTGGCCATCCTGGCCTCAGCATCCGCAGCACTGGGTACCACTCACACACCGACCTCACCAGCCCAGCGTGCTCTGCCCCTGTATCACTTTGTCACAGGGATAACTCACTACATGCCTCCTTGGAAAACATCCTGACCCAAGCCTGGCTGGAGGGTAGCAACCTCTGGAGCCGCAGCTAAAATAGGTGGGGAAGGTGGGCTGCCCATGCCAGGGGATCAACGAGGGGGGAACCGAAAGGCAGCCAGGGAGGTGACACAGCTGCTCCTCACCACGCAGGCTTTGGTTAAAAGGAAAGGGAAATAATTGAGGCGTGAGGCTTAATTTAAAGTGCTGAAACGACAAACTCAAATGCTCATGGAAAGGCGATCAGGGGTTCTTCCTATTTTTACATTTAAAGGAAAAGAGCAGCTCTGGGGTTATTTCAGCCTTAAGAGGAACATTCTGAAGAGAAAAAGCCAAACCCTTGGTGGCGAGAAACACCTGTAGCCACACTGCCAAGGCCAGGACTAAATCGGATGAAGTCCAACGTCACAAGGATTTGGGACTGTGGCACTTTCCAGCAGCAAAAACGTGTATTTTCTGCAGCAGTTGGAAGGATGAGCCCCATTGCAGGATGGCAGATGGGAAAGAATGGGCAAAGTGTGGATGCTCCAAAAATAAAACTCAGGCATTACCTGCACACATTAAGACAGGTGACCACTTCTCCATCCTCTGCTGCAAGAAGCAGGCCTGGAAATGTCTGCTTCCAGAAAATGCAAACTAACCAATTAACAGAAAAAATAGTTTACTGGCAAAGAATTTGTTTTCTTAATTAGGCTTTTCTTTTCTTTTTGCTTCTTTACAAGGCATGTGGAAAATCTTAAGAATTGCTTTCCTTTTGAACAGCAGAAAGAGACTGAAGTGAGGAGGCACAAAAGGGGTCTTCCTGCTTCTTTTTTTTGCCCTGGGATGCATGGGGAACACCAGGCCTGGTCTCCCTTGAGTCTGCTGAAGATCTATTGGGTGTCTTGAATGATGTTTATAGTCGACACTCAAACCTTAATGAATGGACTGCTGAATATTTAACCAAGATGTCTTTTCTTCAAAGTGCTAACAAGTCATTGGAGTTTGACAAGCACTAAAACTAAACATAAGACAAAGAGTTTTAAGCGGGTTTGACTTATTATCCCTCCCATTCACCCTGATTCAGGAAAGCATCCCTAATTCCGCAGAGTAATTAACCTCTTGTTTAGATCCCACAGAACTCCTGGAAACAAAGTGTGCTTAAATGCCTTTCCGGAGGGAGGAGATCCACTCCTCACTCGCTGGCTGGGAGGATGTCACCCTCTCCCTGTTTCTCCCCTCAACAGTCCACACCAGGCAAGACCCGAATTCCTAACCCAAAAAATAAATCGCGACAGAAGAACCGGGTGGGTCACGAGTGAGTGACTGTGCGGGAGCCTGGAGTGTTATCAACCAGCCAGATGGACTGCAAAAAAAGACAGGGAGGAGACAAGCATCACAGAAGTGTGAATCTGAATCCCCCACACCATAAAGCAGCCTGGCTAAATGCCCTCAAACGTTAAAGCAGGCAAGCAGACCCTGAAAGCAAGACAGATTCTTTCAAGCCAAAACTCTCTTCTTCCTTCTGTGAAGCCACCCTGCTCCCAAAAGCCAAGTCTCCTGCCTGAGACTGCAGCCCCACAGAGCTGCTGCCACCCTCTCCTGTGCCCACACAGCCTGCAACGGCTCCCGTGAGCTCTCCAGCTGGTTTGTTTTGCTTTCTGGGTGTCCCTGGCAATTTTCAGGTCAAACATCCACCACTGTCAGCTTGGGAGAAGGTGTTGGTCACCTCAGGTCTGCGTGGGGACCGTATGGCAGGCAGTCACATCTCAAGCCATCCCATCCCTTTGGACAAGAGCTGCAGAGACCGTGCAGCTCGTGACACAGGTGCTGGCAGCCCCAGCACCCCTCGGAAAACACAGGCAGTGGTTTTTGCTTCTGCCTCTCCCCCCTGCCTTGCAGATTGAAAATTACTGGGGAGAAATGAGCCCAAAAGATTCAGATCCCCTCTCCAAGCCACACCTCCATAGGTAAGGGAGGTGCAGGCACCTCTCCCCCAACACCCATCAGGCTGCCAGCACCACGCAGCCACGCTGCTTCTCTGTATCCTGCAGCACACGCCATCCCAAACTACTTTTGAACGGACTAAGCCAAACCACACGTTGGAGAGTTGGGCACGAGGGAGCTGCCAGCTCCGCCAGCTGCACGCAGAGCAGACCTGGGCTGGCCGAGGGGCTCTGGCCAGGCAGGGGCTCACAAGATGTCCACGCAAAGCTGGGGACCAGCAAATCACCGTGAGGGATGAGGGCCCGCGAGCCACCATCTGCTTTCCCCCGCAGACTCCCCATGCCCTGGGCAGATGCAGTTTTGGCTCCTGGGTGCTGATGCAGCTCTGTGCCCAGCCAGGACCCTGTTTTGAGTCAGAGGCCATGTTCCTTCCACCCTTTGCAACAGGTCAGTGGTTCCTCCAGCCTGTTTCCAGCTGCAGGCACTCCTCCGGCAGTGGAGCCAGGCACGGGGACACTGCAGAACGTCCCTCGGACGACCAAGCAGGTTACCTGGTGCAACCAGCCTCCTGACAGGACAAGAGCAGCTTGGCTGACCCCCAGGAAACCTCCCACATGGCTGCAGTGGAGACAGAGTGAGACCCCAGCAGCGAGACCCCAGCAAGGAGACCCCCACCATGGTGATCTCTCCTCGCACACATCTCCATCACGTTCTCCCTGAAGAACCAACACCAACCATGCAGGCAACGGGCAAGGCAGGATCCGGGAGCAGATCCGCATGGCCAAGCACTGGTGAGGGTCACAACCAACACCGAGGCCAGTAGCCAAGCCAGCTCCACTGGGCAGCGGTCAGCCTGGCTGCTTCTCTTCCGAATGCATCAGCAGGACAACAAACCTCTGCTGAAGCTGCCCCACTAACGGCTTCTTGCAGTGGTCCACCTCCCTGGCCCAGCACAGACCCGCCGACATTTCCAGCTCAGCACAGGGAGCGTTTCTGCTCCTCACAAATTTCATGTCACCAAGAAGGAGCCCTGACAGCTTGGCAACCCTCCTGGCACTGCTGTCCGGGGCAGTGGGCAGCGACTCGGGATGCTCCTCCTGCCCAAAGGCTCGGCAGCCCTTGGAGCGCAGGAGGAGGGAGGGAGCCAAGGCTCATCTTCAATGGCCTCTAAATGTCACTGCTGCCACTGGAGGACAGGGGAGCAGGGACTGGCACTGTTGTTAGGCTGCAAATGAGCTTTCACAGTGTGAGTGATGGAAAACAAATTTAAAAAGGATTAAATGAGAGAGGAAAGGGAGGAGCCAGCTCCATGCGGATGGGGGCAAGTTGGTGCAGAGCCCAGCGGGGCAGCTGAGGAGCTGAGCAACACCAGCTTCCAGGGGGGACTACTAACACCCTGGGTGGGTTTGCTCAAGATGGTGCTCCCTGCACAGGATTGCCACACAGCACAGGGCACACACCCAGCTCACCGAGGGGCTGCAAAACACCCTCTCGCTTGGGGACAAGGCAACCAGAGAGGGCAGAGCAGCCTCCAGGAGGCAGCTTAAGCAGCAGAGCTGCAGGGAGCAAGGACAGAGAGGCAGGGAGCGATGCAGCAGCAGCACCAGGATGGAGGGAGGGCAGGCAGGGGGATGAGGAAGCTGCCAGTCAGAGCCGGGGATGGACAGGGTCTGCAGGGAAGGAGGGGAAGTGGTTGCAGGGCTGGCAGGCACGGCTGCATGCAGGCAAGTGTGCGTGCATCGGGACACGGAAAAGGTGTTAGCTCAATCCCACTTGTAAAGCGGGATGGCTTGGTGTCAGGGGGAAGCAGAAGCAGGCAGAGGGGAGGGGGAGGCATGGCTCCGGCACGTTCTGGCCAGCTGGCTCCAGTCCAAGCAACTTTCTTCAGCCTTCCAAAGCCAATTTCCTTGGAAGCACTCCTAAAGCCTGGCAGCTCCCCTAGGGAGGCTCTGGCATTGATTTTATCCGGAACGACCCTGGGCAGCAGCCTCCCCAGGCACCGGAGGGGCACAGGGTAACACAGCCCAGCAAGGTGGAAACCCTGCACCCCATGAACACCAGAGACCCCCATTACCAGCCCACAGGAGACCAAACCTGGCCGTGCAACAAGCTGGGAAGCTCCCAGGGCAGGGAGGAAGGAGCAGCCCGCAGATGAAGCCCACGCGGAGGTGAGCTGCACACTCACCGAGGTGTTCTGGCACTGGATGCTGGTGCTGTTGAAGCGCAGGGCGGTGACACGCGTGGTGCTGCCAGGGATGTGGAAGATGCACTCGTAGTTGCGCTGGCCGGACTGTGGCTGTGGCAGGTTCTTGGCCGTCAGGGTGATGGGTTTCACCACACCCACGGGGATGTAGATCTGGGTGGAGGGAAGGATCTGGGGACAGTCCTGCAAAGGGAACAAGGGGCAGCTGATGAGAAGGGAACACCACACTGCCACCCCCAGCACCCTCACAATCCCCCCTTGGCTGGCAGGCTGGGCAATGCACTGCGAAAAGACCACCCTGAGCACACGCTTGAGTCAATCCTCATGTGCAGCCAACCTAAACCAGCATCTCATGGCTGCTCTGACCAAAGCCCTGAAGACAGAAAACGAGAGCAGAGAGGAATGTGGCTGCGAGGTGTTTTCCACAGCTCAGTTTGATCTAGGCGGGAGGTCGAGAGGGGATTCAGCTATGGAACCTGCAACCTGGCACTGCAACAGCAGCACACACTGGGACAGAATCACTGGTAACGAGATGGGCTTTATGCCATTATTGTGGTCAGTAGGTTTCAGAGTTAATACCCACTGAGCGGTGCACTGTCAGGCCACCCCCTCAGTTCTCCCGTTTCCCTTACATTCTCCATCTCCCCTCCTTTGCAAGTGGTCAGAAAAGCCTTTTCCCCCTCTGACACAAAAAGTGCTTCTGCAGTCTTGCAGAGAACCTGTTCTGCAGTGAATTTTGCTACTGCTGCTTCCATCCCCAGCCAGCTCGAAGCAGAGCCACTCCAACTAGCCTGGCTGCAGGCTGCCCACAAGACAGCAGCTCTAGGAAGGGGATGATGGTGAATCCAGCTGGAGGAAGGCAAGGGCAGGGGGCTTGGCACCACCGTGCCAGCCCCCCACGCTCCCTGGGGAAGGAGCTGAGAGGGCAGCTCTCCAGTGCTATTCCACTTTTAATAGCCACTGGCTCCCTGCTTCTCAGGGGAGCTGATGAGCCTTGTGTGCAAAGCACAGGGGAGCAGGAGGGACAAAAATAAACGAGCTCAGGCAGCAAAACAGTTCCATGGCCGCGGTGGGTGTCACTTCAGCAACAACAGCCTGACGCAATCCCAC